ATGTGTATAGGAATGCTATTGATTTTTGCGTGTTGACTTTATATTCTGGACGCTTTTATAAAGCCCAATTCACAAGCCTAGGTAAGTTCTAGAACAGTTCCCTTTTTGGAACGGCACCCACAGTCTCTCAAAGATTGCTGACTGCAGCTCGAGGAGGTCATGTGCGGTCAAGCCAGGAACCCACAACCACCCTGCAAGACACCCACAGCAGGTGTCCTCAGCTCCCTCCAGCTGCCACCTCTACTGCAGCTGGTATCACCTGCTTTTTTCTGCTGGTTTCTCTCAGCCTTCTTCCTTCCCTCAGATGTGTAAGAAGCAGAGATGAAAAACCAAAAGAGGCAGCACTCAGGAGGCTGAGGCAGGAAGATCACTGCGAGTCCAAGACCAGTCTGGGCTACAAAGTGAGCGCAAGGCCGGCCTGAACTGTGTACTGAGACCCTGTCTCAAAAAGACAAAAAACTAAAAATTAAAAACAAAAACAAAAAAACAAAGGAGGGAGGGACTCACAGCCAACGCCCTATATTCAATCCCAAATACCAGGAGAAAAGCAGCCTAAAACTAACTACAAAATTAAATAACTGGAAAGTAAATAGCGAAATATAAATGGAAGTTGATAACCAATAAAAATTAAAAGGTTTTTTTTGTTGTTGTTGTTGTTTTGACACAGAGTCTCCCTATGTAGCCTAGGCTGACCTCGAACTCAGGGCAATCCTCCTGCCTCAGCCTCCCAAGTGCTCAAATTATGACACTGTGCCATACCACCCAGCTAAAATTAATTTCTAACCCACAAATCTAGATATAAATCTCTCAGCAGTTAACTTAGAGCTAGCTTCCCTGAAAATAAACCAGGTAGGCACCTGGGGGCTCTGGCACCTGCGGGGTCCCCGCCCCAGGAACAAGCCCAGCCTCACAGGGACACGGGGATAGGCAGGGCTGAAGATGACGGTGCCACTTTGATTTGTTTTGTTTTGTTTTTGCGGTACCGGGGATCGAACTCAGGAGCTTACACTTGTTAGGCCGGCGCTTATGCCACTGAGCTATACCCCCAGCCCAAACAGGATTTTTTTTTTTTTTGGGGGGGGGGTTGTTTTCTTTTTCCCAGGTACCGGGAATCGAACTCACCACCTCGCGCTTGTCAGGCAGGCGCTGTGCCGCTGAGCTAAATCCCCAGCCCCGAGGGTGTCACTTTGAAGGGCAGGCCCTCAGCTTCCCGGGTCAGGCCAGGTCCTTGTGGGGGTGCTGAAAGGAAGAGCGGGGGTCAGGGGCTGCTGTGGACAGAAACAAGCTGTGCAGGAGGCCGGGGGAGATGATTACACCCAGCGCTCTGAAGGCCCTTTCCAGGCCTTCTGCGAAGTCACTGCAATCCCGCGCTGCGCCGAGAGTGACCTGGGGTTGCGGCCTCCTGGAGAGAAAAGGACGGGGCTGGGCCGCTGGCAGGGCGCAGCCATCGGCTTCTGCCTGGAACATGTCGCCCATCCATCTCTAACCGCTGCTCCCCAGCCCTCCACCGCAGCCTGCACTGTGGGCAGAGAGCCTGCGGGTGTCAGTGAGCTGTAGGTCGCATTTCCAGGTCTGAAACGCTGTGACAGCGAAGAAACGTCCACGAGGTGTTCACAGCCCGACCCACCTGCTTCCCCAAGAAAGTCACAGGGTCGCCTTGGGTGGGACAACCTGCTCGCCTCCCCACCCTCCTCCTGCCTTGCTCTTTCTCTCTGATTGCTCATTTCTTATCTCCCCGGCAGCCTCTTCCGGCTATGACTGCTTCCGGTCTGGGGAAACTAGAAGCATCAGCCAGAGCATCCTGCCTCTCCCAAGGACTTCGTTGACTAACGATCCGACCTCGCTACTGCGCAGCTGCG